GGCAGAATGTGTCACCTGGCCCCAACCCCCGTCCTGGGCTCTCACGTTATATGCTCAGGTATCTTCCCTCAAGGAAAGTCTCCCATCCCACACACAGTCCCAGTAAAACTCCCCTGCAACATTCCCAGGTCAGTACTTCCCACTCCCTGCTGCGTCACACATGCTTTTTAGTGTCTAGCAAAGTTATGAATTTCAGCTCCCAGGCTGGTCTTTTGAATGTGTTGTGCAGGTTTCCTTTGAGGTTGAGGACTGAGAGGTCAGATATAGAGTGATCGCTTTGTGAAAAGTGTTCACCCACGGGCAATAGTGCAGGGACTGTCTCGTTTCAACCACATAGTTGCTATTGGGGCATTTAGTGCACTGGGTGAGATACGCCACATCCTGTGATAGGCATGTGTGTCGAACCCATGGATCTTGACCGGTCTCTTACATACAACGCAACTCCCCCACCTTTTCTGCCCGGCCTGTCCTTCCTGAACAGTTTATATCCATCCATGACATGCTTGTTCTTGGATCCTTCTAGCTAAGACACAGCTCTGTGTCTGTTCTTCGTAAATAAACAAAACTGCATCAGAGAAACACCTATCACCTAACACTAGCTTCTACTCCCAGCTGGAACACGCTACTAGACCCCAAACTTTTGGCTAGCTGCTCAGGCCAAACGCAGTAACGTTATCGAGTCAGAGAATCATAGGACCAGAGGGTTAGAAGGGGACCGCAAGGGTCATCTAGTCTAACCCCTGTCAAGACACAGGATTTGTTGTGTCTAAACCATCCAAGGCAGATGGCTCCAGCCTCCTTCTGAAAACCTCCAGTGAAGGAGCTTCCACAACCTCCCCAGGCGTCTGTTCCATTGTCCTGCTGTTCTTAGCGTGAGGACGTTTTTCCTGAGATTTAATCTAAATCTGCTCTGCTGGAGTTTGAACCCAGTGCCTCTCGCCCTGGCCTCTGTGGCGAGAAAGAACAGCTTTTCTTCATATTTGAAGACTGCTATCATGTCCCCCCCAATCTCCTCTTCCCCAAACTAAACATACCCAGATCCGTCAGCCTTTGCTCACATGCATTTTGTCCCTTTGATCATCTTTGTCGCTCCCCTCTGGATCCTTTCCAGTTTCTCTCCATCCTTTCTATACATTGGTGACCAAAACTGGACACAGTACTTCAGCTGAGGCCTGACCAGAGCTGAGTGGAGCAGTACTATCACCTCCTGTGACTTGCATGTTATGCCTCTGTTCATACAACCTAAAATTGTGTTTCCTTTTTTTGCAACAGCATCGCATTGCTGACTCATTTTGAGGTTGTGATCCACCACAACTCCCAGATCCTTCTCAGCAGTGCTGCTGACAAGCCAGTTATCCCCCATTCTGTATTTGTGCATTTGGTTTTTCTTCCTAATGTGTAGCACCTTACCATAGGCACCAACTTTCTCCGGTGCCGGTGGGTGCCCGCGCCCCCGCCCCTTTCCCCGCCCCTGGCCCCGCCCCGACTCCACCCTTTCCCCACCCCTGGCCCTGCCCCCATTCCAACCCCATACCCAAAGTCCCCACCCTAACTCAGCCCCTTCCCTGCCCCTATTGGATCCCTTCCCCAAATCCCCACCTCGGCCCTGCCTCTTCCCCCAGCGCGCCGCGTTCCCCCGCCTCCCCCCTCCCTCCCTGCCCTGCAAATCAGCTGTTTCGCGGTGCAAGCACTGGGAGAGAAGGGGGAGAAGCAGGACCCGGTGGCATGCTCGCGGAGGAAAGCTGGAGCGGGGGGGTGGGGCGGGGCAGGGAGCTGTCGGTGGGTGCTGAGCACCCACCAATTTTTTTCCGTGGGTGCTCCAGCCCCGGAGCACCCACGGAGTCGGCGCCTATGCACCCTACATTTTACTTTGTTGAATTTCATTTTGTTGTCTATAGCCCAGTTCTCCAATGTATCAAGAGCCCTCTGAATCTTAGCTCTATCCTCCCAAATATTGGCAACCCCCTATAGCTTTGTGTCATCTGCAAACGTGATCGGTCTCCTCTCTAGTCCTACATCCTGGTCAGTATTAAAGATGTTAAACAACACTGGATCCCTGTGGAACCCCACTTGAGACCTCCCTCCAATCTGACATCATTCCATTAGTAGTTACTCTCTATGGTTGCTTAACCAATTATGTATCCACTTAATGGTAGTTCCATCCCTGCATTTCTCCAGCTGACTTATCAGATTATTATTAGTATTCCTGACAGCTGCTTTCTGAAGACCCAGTAGTAGCTGTGGCCGGGATGGCTGTTCCCATCGCAGTCTGGCCAGGGGTGAACAGCCTTTCCCTTAGGATGTATTGTCACTCAGAGAACAGGCTGCAACCTGGGGCTGCCCCTTAACTCTGTTTAGAAGGCTGGTGCAGAACGCACCTGCCACTGACCAGGATCACATTCCCTGGTGTTCTCAGCTCCGCACTGGCTGTCAGCTGGTTTCCAGCGCACTGGCCCACATTGTCCTTTGCACTGTTATCTCCTGTGACATCCCCAACTAAGCCGAACCCTCCGCCCGGCCTGCAGCTAACGCTCCTTTGGTTTCTTGGCTCCCCTGAAGCATGAGGAGAAGAACAGCCGGAACTCCACGGTGGAGCAGCGGGTCCAGGAGCTGGAGCAGCGTTACAACGAGGCCAGCACGCTGCAGCACATCCAAGCCACGCTGCTCTACGACATGCAGGCCCAGATCCACAACATCTCCCTGCTGACTGAGTGGGCCCGGCGCCACCCCGGCTGCCTCGTTCCTGCCGAGATGAGGTCGCAGCAGGAGATGCACCATCCAGGTGATGGGGAATACCTGGGCTGGGCTGGGGGTGAAGGGCTAGAATCCAGACTAGACACCTGATCTAGCTAGCAATAGCGGTGAAAGCTGGGGCCGAATGGACAGCACCGTGAGCTGTACACAACCCCGTCCTGGGTATGTACTTGAGTGGCTGGCCCGAGCTAGCGAGCTGCTGCATCTTCACTGCTATTGGTGCCAGAGCTAGGAGGGATAGCTCAGTGGTTTGAGCATTGGCCTGCTAAACCCAGGGTTGTGAGTTCAATCCTTGAGGGGGCCACTTGGGGATCTGGGGCAAAATCAGTACTTGGTCGTGCTAGTGAAGGCAGGGGGCTGGACTTGATGACCTTTCAAGGTCCCTTCCAGTTCTAGGAGATGGGATATCTCCATTATTTAGCACAATGAAAGCTAGCTCAGGTCTGGCTACATGTGTCGTAGTCACACCTCCAGTTGCAGTGCAGAGATGAGAGGGAACCTTCCCCTGTATGATGAAGAGGGGTGAAAGTCCCAAATAATTTCGATTGGGAGGAAGCAAGGCCATCTTTTTGTTATGTAGCTGTACCGTGCTCAGCACAATCGGAGATCGGGCCTGTTGCCTTAAATGCTAATAGTAAAAAATAAGACTAGACTATGTCGTTGCATTTCATGGCCTTTCACACCGTTTTTAGGCCAAACGTTTCACAATTAGATTTTGGGTGTCCAATTTGAGGCCCCCTGGGCTGTGATTGTCAGAATCACTGAGCACCTGCGGAACCGACAGGCTGCCCCTGGGGCTTCATGTTCTCAGAGCCTCTGAAAAGATGACCCTGAAGTCTTCTTGATGCTGGCGATATGCCCGCACCAGGAGGCAGGTGTCCCAAGCCCCTCGTGCCCAATGGGCCACAATTAGAGCTGGCCCCAAAAGGTCAATTAATTTTCATGGAAAATTTTTCTCTCTTCTTGAAATTTTCCCATTTTTTTTCATTGAAAAAATGAAAGTTTTTGGTTTAAAAAAAAAAAAATCATTTTTGGTACAATTTTTGAAAACCCAAACCGATTTTTTTTTTTAGCAAAACCTGAGGTGTTTTTTTGTTTTTTTTAGAAAAAGAGGAAAATTTCAACCAAAAATAAAAAATGCTCAGTTTGGTCCAAAACCCGTTTTTCACCGAAAAGCTGTTGGGATTAAAACATTTCCGCCAGCTCCTCGCCACTGCCCCGACCTGGAGTGCTCAGCTCTAGAAGTCAGGAGGACACGCTGATCTGGTTTCTCGGCCGTTCAGTTCTTGGCCTCTGTCGTAAGACTGAAAGGGACGCGTGACGGTGGTTTCTGAGATGTGGATACTTATCCAGTAAGAAGCAGGCTGAGCCCAATGACTCCTTCTACACACGCTGATCAACAGGCCTGATTTGTTAATGCCTTTCACCTACCAACCTGAATCCGATTTGAGCCAGTGACGTCGGGAGGAAAGGCGCATTAGTTGGTTACTGAGCCTATGAGTCAACCAGTCTAATTGTTTTCCATCATCCTTGTTTTAAATGAAGCCAGCTCTCTCAGCCTTAGATACCATGATAGCTTGGCTCCAATTCCTCTACCCACCAGGTACACATAAATAATTTCTCTTTGGAAGAATAAATGGCCTGCTGGAAAAAGGAGAACTGGTGCTGGTGGTAATGCCCTCACTGGGCAGCAGAAACTAGACCCAGTAGACCCAGAGTGTCTCCCCTGTGAGATTTCCTTACATGCTATTCTCACAGGGTTCCCTTTAGCAGCGTTGCCGGATCAGCTGGGCAGAAATAGTCCAATGGAACTCAGAGACCAGTCCCCAAACAGTGGCCTTGATTGGGCGCTTCTCCATTCTGTCCCCACTTCCCACAGCCAATGGGAGACCTCAAAGCAAATGGGCACTCTAATTGGTGGCTTGGAATGTTGAAACGCCTATTCCTCTTTTCCCAATGTACTTTCATTGGTTGCCAGAGTTGTGACCTCATCCCTCGCTCTTCCCTCATGGAAAAAAAATGACAATTCACTTTTTATAACCCTTTCAATCCCACAAACTGGGCAATGCTTCTGGTTTGGTATTAGGGTCAGCTGGGATTTGGGCTGGTGTAGCGTGGATAAGAGAAAGTTTATCTCTGGTTTATCTCTCTCGTTAGTCCCCTGTTCCCTCCGCCTTTCTCTGCAAAGCTCTTTAGAGAATTTGTGTGGGTGGGAATTGTTCTCACTGATGATCTTCCTCAGCTTTCACTCAGTCTTTCCTCAGGCAAACCCTCTTTGGGTATGTCAACACAGGAGTGTAGACACGGGCTCTGACACATCTTGTGTCCCAACCCCGTAGCGGGAGGCAGGGGTGCTGGAATGGGGTGGGCTAGGGGGCCATGGCCCTCCTGCTTTTTACCAGCCATAAGGATGAGCGACAGGTGGGAGGGGACAGGGCCTTGGGGGGGGAAGAGGCGGTGTGAGGAGGGGGGCCTCAGAGGAAGGGGCAGTGTGAGGGTGGGGTCTCGGGGGAAGGGACAGCACAGGGGTGGAGGCTCAGGGAAAAGGGGTGGTATGGGGGAGGGGCCTCGGGGTAAGGGGCGGTGCAAGGTTGGGGCCTCAGGGGGAAGGGGTGGCACAGGGGGTGGGGCCACGGTTTGGGCGCCGGTGGTCCCCCCCGCTGTTAGGAAGCTTCCGCCGCCCCTGAGGTGTGACTAAGGATGCTAGGGTTTGGCCACTTGTCCGTACACCTTTAAGCTAAGAGTATCAAAGCCTAGCAATGTAAGGTGCATTATGGGAGGTTTGACATCTTTCTCTGAAGCATCCAGCGCTGGCCACCTTTGGAGAATGGAAACAGGGACTAGATCATTCGGTCTCAGTGTCGGAAGGGAAGAGCCCAGCAGAACTTTGGGCTCAGCAAAACTCTTACCATTTCCACCTTAACTTAAATGGCAAAGAAGCTTTCATTTAAAAACAAAGAACGTGTCATTCTAACGAGTGAATGGAGGGCTGCGCTAGTCGAGATGGGCCTGAGCTGTGAATTTTATATCCAGAATCAGCTGTGAATCCAATCTGCCCAAGCTCCGGGGTTTCCACGTCCAGCTCAGAGACAGTTCCTAGCCACACAGTTCTGGTTAGCATCCAGATTTGATTCCAAATGTCCTGAAATTGTGGTTGAGTGTGGCTCCAGGGTTCTGGTTCAAACTCGCTTCCCCTGTGCTCTGGGCAATGGATAGAGGTTTGTCTGTGAAAATCAGTCTTGCCCCCATTTTAGGATGCCCCAATGGATAAAATAAAATGAAATAAATGCCAAGGAACTACCCCTCAGTCCATGAGGAATCCCAGAACTTAAATGTTGCCAGAGTAAAACGGCGCTCATGCCTCAAAAGTCTTAAGCTCTGATCTACATCTGGAACTCAACATTTTTGGTTGAGTTCAGCCGAACAAGTCCTCCCTTCTATGAGCTGACTATTAAACCGTGTCTCTCTGTTTCCTGTCTTAGACGTGAAGCACGCAAAGAACTGCCCCATAGACTGTGCTTCCATTTACTACAACGGGATCCGGAGGTCTGGGGTCTACAGCATTATGCCTTCTGTCGGTGGGATGCCAATAGAAGTGCTGTGTGAAATGGACACGGAAGGTATAGTAAGAAGCGACCGCATGCCTGAACGTCTTTTCTCACAAGGCTCAGGCAGGGCCCAAGGCACAGCTTCAGACTTCTATGTATTCTGGCTATGTACCTAGAGCACACAGCACCCTAGTACCTAGGCACCAGCTTCCTCGTAGAGATAGTCTCACCTACTGGAGTTCTGGAAGACCAGCTATAGGAACCCCAGTTGAAGTGTCTCATTGAGCTGCAGTGGTGGAGCCAGTGCTTCTAGCCCCCAGGACCTATTCAAGCAAGGATGCATTCTCCATCTTGGTGCAGCCCGTGCTGGAAGAGCTCATGGTGTTTGTGCTCTTGGAGTCTAGTGCCTGGGTTAAACGGGGGAAGGACAGTGTCACACTTTCAGGGTAACTGCACCTGTATTTCCTGTCTGGTTTCAGGCTTCCAGGCATCATCTTTCCTGGGCAGAAACCTGCATCTCTCTTCCCCCTGACCAGGGTTTTTAAGGCTGTACCTGTTCTTAAAAGGCAAACACCTGTCAGGAATGATCTAGTTATTACTTCGCCCTGCTTGAGTGCAGGGGACTGGACTAGATGACCTATCGAGGTCCCTTCCAGTCCTACGCTTCTATGATTCTATTATTCTATACACTGGCATATCCCCAGCAAGCCAGACTGCCTCAGGGTCAGCCCCTGTGCATTGCTTTCTCTCAGCGGACAATGGCAGTGTTTTTACCAATGGGCACACAGTTCTTCCCTGCAGGGTACATTTATTTTAAGGACAGAAAAGAATACCGAAAAAACATATAAAACAATAAAAGTCCCTGCACACGTACTAAACACTCATGCACCAGGACTCACCCATCAGTCTTATAGGGCCCTAGTAGGCCAAAGACTTTCCAATCTTTCAGCAAGGGTTGGGGTTCCCCTAAAGCCCAAGATCTGTCTGCTTGTTGAATCAAAAGGAAGACCCCAAATCCCCCCAAACTCAGCCTTTATATCTCAAGTTCTTTCTTTGCCCCTGACCTCTCCGCTGGGATTGGCCTAAACCAGTATATACAAACCGCCCCAGGAGAATATGTCTCTGGAGCTGCGTACAATCTCCGAGACTGTCGTAACCGCTCCCCACTGTTTTCAGTCCCTGGCGGAGCTGCGGTAGCCCTTCGCCTATGGAGTTGCATGCAGTCCCAGGCCCACAATGATCCATAAACCATTCATAAACTGAGAATCATAGAAATGTAGGGCTGGAAGGGACCTTGAGAGGTCATCAAATCCAGTCCCCTGTGCAGGGCAGAGGGACCAAGTAAACCTAGACCATCGCTGTCAGGGATTTGTCCTAACTGTTTTTTAAAACAACTTCAGTGATGGGGATCCTACAACCTCTCTGGGAAGCCTGTTCCAGAGCTTAATTACCCCTATAGTTAGAAAGTTTTTCCTAATATCAAACCTAAATCTCCCTTGCTGCAGATTCAGCCCCGATTCTTTTCCTACCTTCAGTGGGCATGGAGAACGACTGATCATCTCCACTTTACAACAGACCTTCCCGTATTTGAAGACTGTTACCACGTCCGCCCCCCCAGTCTTCTTTTCTCAAGACTAAACAGGCCCAGTTTTTTTAACCTTTCCTCATGGGTCAGATTCTCTAGGGTTACCATCCGTCTGTATTTCCCCGGACATGTCCGGCTTTTGCGTCTCTAAATAGCCGTCCGGGAGGAATTGGTAACAAGGTTAAAATGTCCGGGGTTTTTTTCTCCTTCGCCTCCCTCCCTTCCATGCAGAGTGCGGCTGCTGATTGGGCGGCTGGGCCAACTGACCCACTCCCATTGGCCTCCAGCAGCCAGAGCCCTCCCCTGCTCCCCCCTCCCTCTGTCTGCAGCCCTGTGTAACACACAAACTGACCCACCGGGCAGAGTATTTTGCAAACACGTGGAGCCAGAATGGTAAGGGGGGGGCAGTCAGGGAGCGGGGGAGTGTTGGATGGGTCCTCGGCCTCCACCTGCCAGCCCCCCTCCTTGCGTCCTGTCCCCCCGCATGGACCCCCCCCGCCTGCCTCTCCCTTGTCTGCTGCCCCCAGGTCCTAGTGTCCCCCATCTACTAATGGGAAGACAGGCTGCCCTTACCCTGCCCTTCCACCCTAGCCCTGAGCCTCTCCAACACCCCAAACCCCCCAGCCCCAGCCCTCATCCCCCACACCCTAATCCTCTGCTCCATCCCTGATCCCCCTCCTGCATCATGAACCCCTCATCCTCAGACCCACAGCCCTCACCCCTGCATCCCCTCCTATCCCCAAACCCCCTCCCCACACCCCCGTCCTGCCCTCAAACTCCCTCCCAAAGCCTGCACCCCCTCCCTTTGCACCGCCTCCTACCCCCAAACTCCATCCCAGAGCCTGCACCCCTCACCTCCTCCTGCACACCCACCCCCTGCCCCAGCCCGGAGCCTGCACCCAGCACCCAAACTCTATCCCAGAACCTGCACCCTGCACCCCTCCTGCACCCTAATCCCCAGCCCAGGACCTGCACCCCAGACCTCTTCCCCCCACCCAACCCCCCTCCCAGAGCCTTAGGCAGGTGTGTGTGGGGGGGGTTCTGGGCAACACCAAAATTTCTACAACCCTGCCACCCATGCGAGTGGATAAGGGTCGGGGCAGTCAGGGGACAAGAAGCAGGGGGGGTTAGGGTTCTGAGGGGGGCAGTCAGGTGGTGGGAAGTGGGAGGGAGTGGATGGGGGCGGGGCTAGGGCGGGGCTCCCCCCGTGTCCTCTTTTTTGATTGTGGAAATATGGTAACCCTAGATTCTCTAAACCATTGATCATTTTAGTTGCGCTTCTCTGGACTCTCTCCAATTTGTCCACATCTTTCTTTAAGATTGGTGTGCAGAATTGGACACAGCACTGAAGCTGAGTAGAGCCGGGACAGTTGCCTCCTGTGTCTTACATACAGGGCCGGATTAACACAGGGGCTTTAGGGGCTGCAGCCCAGGGCCCCGGGCTAAGGAGGGCCCCGGCACAGCAGGGCTCAGGCAGGCTGCCTGCATGCCGTGGCCCCACGCCGCTCCCGGAAGCGGCCGGCTGCTGGCACGTCTCTGCAGCCCCTAGTGGGGGTGGGGAGGTGGCTCCATGCGCTGCCCCCGCCCCCAGCACTGTTCCCATAGCTCCCATTGGCTGATTCCTGGCCAATGGGAGCTGCGGGAGCGGTGCTTGCGGGGGCAGGCAGCGTACAGAGACACGCTGTCCCCCTCCCCCCAGGAGCATTCAAAGATGTTTCAGCAGCCAGCCGCTTCCGGGAGCGGCGTGGGGCCACGGCATGCAGGCAGCCTGCCTGAGCCCTGCTGTGCCGCCGGCCGGGAGCTGCCTGTGGTAGGTGCCTCCCGGCTGGAGCCTGCACCTCGCATCCACTCCTGTACCTCAACCCTCTGCCCCAGGTCAGAATCCCCTCCTGCACCAAACTCCCTCCCAGAGCCTGTACCCCTCACCCTCTCCTGCACCCTGACACTCTGCCCCAGCCTGGAGCCCCCTCCTGCACCAAACTCCCCCCCAGAGCCTGTACCCCTCACCCTCTCCTGCACCCTGACACTCTGGCCCAGCCTGGAGCCCCCTCCTGCACCAAACTCCCTCCCAGAAAGAAACTAATATAACAGCTGTTCTAAGGTAAGACATAGGCTATTTTGAATTAACTTGACTATAGTCTACGTGTTTTAAGACTGAAATGTAACCACAAAATGGCTTTATGTTAATTAAAAGGCAAGTTTAGTATAGTGTTAATAGCCTCAATGCCATAATTGTGACCACTTTGTTTTAAATTAGGAAAAAGACTTGTATACAGGGGCCCCACAAAATCTAATAGCCCCGGGCCCACAGGAGAGTCAGTCGGCCCTGCTTACATGTGACACTCCTGTTAATACACCCCAGAATGATATTAGCCTTTCTCACAACTTTATCACATTGTTACTCATATTCAGTTTGTGACCCATTACAGTATCTCCAAGAAAACATGCATGTGGTTGCTGTATCTGTCCTAGACAGCACAGTCTCACCCATTAGTGCCTCAGAGGTAAGCAGAAAGGCCACCATTGGTAGCAGGGCCGGCTCCAGCATTTCTGCCGCCCCAAGCAAAAAAAAAAAAG